ACTTATTATCCATTAGCCGTCTAACTCGATCTCTTGATTGTGTTATCTCTTTTACCAAAACTTCTGTTTCCTTACAGGACCGGAGCTCGCAAAGAGTGATTGGCACCGGATGTGAGTCACATGGACTTTATTATCTTCATCCTTCTCCACATTATACTGCTTTAAGTTATCATCGAATTTCTTCACCATTTTATACCTGTCTCTCGTCTATTTCTTCTGTGTCTATTCCTAAATCTGTCTCTGAAGCCTTAGCCCACCCTGGTTGGCGTCAGGCCATGCTAGATGAACTCGGTGCTCTTCAGACTAGTGGAACCTGGACGCTTGTCCCATTACCATCTGGAAAATCTGTTGTTGGTTGCAGGTGGGTCTTCGCTATCAAGGTTGGTCCTGATGGTACTATTGATCGCCTCAAATCTCGCCTTGTAGCCAAAGGCTATACCCAAATTTTTGGGTTGGATTATGGTGATACTTTCTCTCCAAGTGGCAAAGATGGCTTCGTTCGTTTATTCATTGCCATGGTCGCTACTCAACAATGGCCTCTTTATCAATTGGATGTCAAAAATGCTTTCTTGAATGGCGATTTGCAAGAAGAGATTTATATGGAGCAACCTCCCGGATTTGTTGCTCAGGGGGAGTCTTCTGGATTGGTATGTCATCTTCGCAAATCTTTATATGGCCTAAAACAGTCTCCTAGGGCCTGGTTTGGCAAATTTAGCAGCGTTGTTCAACAATTTGGCATGACTAGAAGTGAGGCGAGACCACTCGGTCTTTTACCGTCACTCGAATGCTCGGATGTATCTATTTGATAGTGTATGTCGATGACATTGTTCTTACAGGTAGTGACCATCATGGCATCTCTCGGATGAAACAACACCTTTGCCACCATTTTCAAACCAAAGATCTTGGCAAACTCGGATATTTCTTGGGTATTGAGGTAGCACAATCTACCGATGGCATTGTTATATCTCAAAGAAAGTATGCATTGGATATTTTGGAGGAAACTGGGTTGATGAATTCAAAGCTCGTTGACACACCAATGGATCCTAATACCAAACTCTTGCCAAATCGGGGGAGCCAATGTCGGATCCTGAACAAGTATAGAAGATTAGTTGGAAAATTAAATTATCTTACAGCTTACTCGCCACGACATTTCCTTTGCAATCGGTGTGGTAAGTCAATTCCTCAATTCTCCTTGTCAAGATCATTGGAATGCGATCATCCGTATATTGAAGTACATCAAAAAGTCTCCTAGAAAAGGTTTGGTGTATGACTCCCATAATCATACAAGAGTTGTCTGCTATTCGGATGTCGATTGGGCAGGATCTCCTCTCGATAGAAGATCTACATCCGGGTATTGTGTTTCCATTGGTGGTAACTTGATCTCATGGAAAAGTAAGAAACAAAGTGTCGTGGCAAGATCCAAGTGCGTGAGCGAGTATAGAGCTATGGCCTCAGCTACCTGTGAACTTATTTGGCTCAAGCAATTGCTTAAAGAGCTACAATTTGGAGATGTCACTCAAATGACACTAGTGTGTAACAATCAGCCGCTCTCCATATAAGCTCTAATCCCGTCTTTCATGAGAGGACTAAACACATTGAGATTGACTCGTCATTTTATTCGGGAAAAGATTATGTCTGGAGACATCAAGACCGAGTTCGTTAACTCATGTGATCAATTAGCGAGATATTTTCACTAAGTCTTTACTGGGACCTAGGATGGATTATCTTTGTACCAAGCTAGGCACATACGATTTGTATGCTCCAGCTTGAGGGGGAGTGTTAGATATGATTAGATATTAGTTGATATTGTTTGATATTGTTGAGATATTGTTAGATATTGTTAATCACAATATCAAATAATATCTTTTATTTACCCTATTTGTATTCTGTTACTCTTTTGAGGAGTACCTTTCTTTATTATAAATACACTGCCCTATGTGTGGTAAACACATAAGGGAAATTAACCCTATACAGTTTTTCCCTATATTCAACACATAGGTTCACCTCTTCACCTTCGGATGCAGAACTGGAGGATGAATCATTATCTTGCCAAGCTATGTTGGCCTTTTTCCCTTTGTACTTTGACTCTTTCTTGTTCTGATTCTTGGTCTTTTTCGGACATTCACTTCTTATGTGTCCCTGCTTACCACAAGAATAACAAGTAACGATATTTTGAATAGAGTCAGTCTTTTTATCGATGTACCTTTTAACTTGCCCAGTTCTGTTCTTCCTTCTAAGAAATTTTCCAAACTTCTTAACCAACAGAGTTAGATTCTCGGATTCATCTTCTTCGGACTCATTGTTTTCTTCAATCGTCTTGAGAACAATGTTTCGCTTTTCTTCTCTGCATTCTCTTGTTCTTTGAACCGATTGATTTTCAACTCATGTTCCCTTAACTTACCAAATAGTGAAGCAAGTAGTCATTTCAGTCAAGTCTCTTGATTTTGATATAGCTGTCACCTTTGGTTGCCAAGTTCTCGTCCAAACACTTCAAGATTTTGATGTTCAACTCTTCCTTGTCAAAAGTCTTTCCTAGCCCAATTAAATGATTGACTATGTGCGTGAATCTTTTCTCGTACATCCGCAATTGTTTCTCCTTGCTGCATTTTGAACAATTCATAGTCCCCGATTAACTCATGCTTTCTTGCCCTTTTCACGTCGGATGTACCCTCATGTGTGACCTCTAGAATTTCCCACATCTCTTTGGCAGAGGCACATTGAGACACCCCGAAAAACTCATCAAGATTTAAAGCAAAGGTAATAATATTTTTAGCAAGTATAATCATATTGGACTCTCCTATTTTCTCGCATGAGTCAATTCAGCCCAATTTTTTCAACTACTTTACCATCCACTCGTATGAGTTGGTTTGTAAGGACCATTAACAATTGTTTCCCAAATACCTCTATCAAGAGATTCAATAAAGATTTTCATTCTAACCTTCCGTAAAGAATAATTCACACCGTAAAAAAGAGGAGGCCTGTTTATGGAGGCTCCTTCGGAAAAATTCATCTTTCCCTCGACCATTCTTGGACCAAATTCTTGAGTATCTTACAAGAACCAACTCCGGTACCAATTGAAAGAATTAATGGTTGAGTTCAAGAGGGGGTGAATTGAACTTTAGAAAACTTTTTCGCAAAACTTACTTTCTCTTGGAAGAATGAATTATCTTTATTTAATTCTTGTGTAGGTAGGTTTGATTTTAATCACAACAAGTATATAGACAAGAAATAAAAGAGATGAAAGAAGAAATTCAACACAATAATTTATACTTGGTTCACTCTTTACCGTAGCTACATCTAGTTCTTGACAAATCTGCCAAGTTCCACTAATACCAAGTGAAAATTACAACCAAGTAGATACTCACCAATCTACCCCAAGAACTATCTTACAAACCCACAAGATAGACTCTTGAAACCTCCCAATAACCAAATCCAAGCTATCGTAACCAGTGTAGATCAAAAACCAATCTACACAACCACACTTTACACAAGAGTATGAAAAGAAAAAACCTGGATCGAAGCTTTATCAAGTACAATTGTCCGAAGCAATTCTAACTCAGCAGTTTCTTTCTTTGATTAACAACAATCTTGATCAAAGCACCTTATGATATGAAAAGATTCTAAATGCTCAAAGAAAGTCACGGATATGATTGCTCAAAGATTGCTTTCAAATGTTTTCTCAAATTGTATGTTTCAAAAGATAGATCAAATATGTATTTATAGAGTAAAAGAGAGTACCAGAACGTTTGATCTGTTAAAAACTGATTCAGAGAAGCAAATGATCGATCAGAACAGCATTATGACCGATTAGAACAAGTTATGATCGATCAGAATGTATTTCAATCGATTAAAACGACGTTTCAATCGATTGATTTTATTTAAAACTTCATTCAATCGATTGATTCGTGTTTTCAATGGATTGAAATAGCTTAATGAAGTATGACAGCTCTCTGTTTCAATCGATTAAAAAACCTTTCAACAGATTGAAATCCTGTAGACTCTTAGTCAAAAAAATAGTCTCTCTGTTTTAACAGATTGAAAAGTATTTCAACAGATTGAAGTTTTGAAAAACACTTAGACTGAAAAAATAGTCTCTCTATTTCAACAGATTAAAAAACATTTCAATAGATTGAAAATGCGAAACCTTTAATACATGAAAAATCATTAAGACATTTTAACCTGTTGATTCTGCGATTCAACCAATTGAAAATTTCGACTATATTTGACCACTTCTTATGTTAAGTGATTTTAACAGATTGAAATTTCTTTTCAACAGATTGAAAAACTTAGTTTGTTCTTTTAATGCTTAAATGTTAGTTTTTCATGCAGAAAAATGATTTCAATGAGATGCATCATTTTAAGGCGCTTATCACAAGATTTATTGGCCTATCAAGAGATTAAGTTCTAAACTTCTAACCTATTCATCTACACACCCACAAACTAAACTATATCAACTCAATATGTCTTCATCAAATCCACCAAGTGCTTCAAATGTAACCCAGAGAACTGCATCTTATTTTCAAAGTTAGAATCATGGTTTACCTTAGCTTTGATATACTTAAGAAAAGGTAAAATAGGTGATTCTTTTTCAGCCAATTTCTACATTATTTACTAGATTCTGTCAAGTAATGCGTAGTTGGTCCATTGGAAACAATGATCTAATTTTTAATCAATTACAGCTGTCACCATCTGATAATGCTTAGTTGTTATATTGGAAAAATTGGCACAACGGAGCTTATGTTCTGTTGATTCTAGCTTGATAGTGTATTAGTATATGAGATACCTGTGGGTAGATTACTCTCTAATTAATTATGACAGTTGTTATTTTGTTATAACAGCTGTCTTGTCAGTAACTATCAGTTAGTTAACTTGGCCTTAGTTATGTCAGCTGTTAGTTTGTTATAACAGCTGTCAGTAGCTATATGTTAGTGACAATGTAATCATGAGTGATATAATGGAAAAGAGATTAAGAGTACTCTCTCTGTTTCTTTCGATTTTACATGGCTGCATACTGTTTCATTATTTTGATAGTGATTGTCATGAGATTTCACGTTCTCCTATGTCTTAGTTCAATATACATGTGTGCAGAATAGTACTCTATTGCCTTCTTGTATTCGGTTCAGCTTTGATTATATCTTTTAAAACTTTTATATATTTTAATGTAGGGGCTTGATATCTACAACTCAAAGCCAGTGAGAGAGAAGCAAATAACACGGATTATTGGAAAGGTTTACTTATTGAGTTTTCTTTGTTCTTAATTATCTGTCCATGATACATGTGATAAGTAATTCAATTAATTTGAATGCTTCTCATGTGCTTATTGGTTATTTTCTGAAATTTTGAGAAATATTCATTCAATTCAATGCTTTTTTGCAAGCTGTCCAAGTGCTTAGCTGCATCATCATTTTCTACTTTGACTGCAGATAACAACAATTGCTGCTGCGATTAATCTTAGATTATCAGGAAGGGCGCCTGTGCTTCCATCCAACAAACTTTCTTACACACAGAATTTCCTATACATGCTAGATTCTTTGTATGTCATACCGTGTAAAGTTTGATTAATATTTTGGATTAACCTTCAGTTTCTTTTTTGTGTTAAGTCATTTTTCCATCTGAGCTTCTTGATGGTTTTCTTGTCTTCACATATAAAAAAAGTCTAAATCTTATCAATCAAAAGTTATATTATTTACTCACCAAAAAATACTAAGAATGTTAACCACATAATTAGCTGAATTTTGTTATTGTGAGAACATGAAATGAATTATCAGCATAAGTAAAATAATATCCATTATTCATGTTTTCAGTGGCAATCTATCGTATAAACCTAATCCTCGGCTAACTCGAGCACTGGACATTATCTTCATCCTACATGCAGAACATGAAATGAATTGCTCCACATCTGCTGTACGACACCTCTCATCAAGGTAGACATCTTACTAAAGCATGATAGTCCTGCAAATCAATTTTACTGAGTCTTCTTCGACTGCTTTTAAATAGTCCTATCTTATATTGCCTTATTTTCACCTTACAGTGGTGTTGATGTATATACTGCTATTGCTGGGGCCATTGGAGCTCTATATGGACCTCTTCATGGTGGAGCCAATGAGGTAATGTAAATAAGTAAAACAAATAAAGTAGAATTCTATCTAACCTGTTGTATAAAGTAGAAATCACATGTGAGTTCTTCATGGATTAGGATGTTCTCATGATTATTTTTTATTGATTACTTAAAATATGAAAGTAGAGTAGAAATCTAACTTCAATTATACTCGTTTGACAACTTTTGGTTATGCAGGCTGTCCTCAAAATGTTGAGTGAAATTGGAACTGTTGAGAACATTCCAGCGTTCATTGAGGGTGTTAAAGCCAGGTGGCTATTGCTTTTTATTTCTTGTGTCTTGTTTTCCCTGTCTGTGAAGAATGGTGATGGTGTGATGACTTCCTCTTTTGTAAATCCTATTTTTTTTTTGTGATGATGTTGTTGCTGGTGTGTTATTTCCTTCAGGAAACGAAAGCTCAGTGGTTTTGGACACCGTGTGTACAAAAATTATGATCCAAGAGCAAAGGTCTTGAGAAAACTGACAGAGGAAGTGTTTTCCATTGTTGGCCGGGATCCTCTTATAGAGGTGTCTATCCATTTTCTATTCCCTGTTTGTGCTGCTGTGTATCTGCTGTATATTCCTTAAACTGTATGTGCTGTTCACAAGGCCTATTATTGAACTGTGAATACAATATCAAAAGTTTATATTTTGAAAGATTTTTCTGTGTGTATTATTTCAAGACATTTTTTAAAGAAAACGGTGCAAACTACTTTGTAAAGTTTACATATAATGTAAGTATTCAAATTTATTTCTACAACAATTCAGTCAAATTCTTTAAACTCGTTACAGGAAAAGTTCTTTTATGCTTAATGCAACATTTCAATAAATTTAGTTTGAATTTGGAAGTTCCATCTGAAATGATTTGATTGTGCAGATTGCAGTTTCCTTGGAGAAGATTGCACTGTCTGATGAGTATTTCATCAAGAGAAAGCTATATCCTAATGTGGACTTCTACTCTGGATTAATTTATAGGTAAACTATTATTACATCAAGTTTTTGCAACCACAGAGGATAACATGTTACTCCTCCCAGATTATTGGACTAGGATTGAGCTAATGCTTTTTGTGCCATCAGGGCCATGGGGTTTCAACCTGAGTTTTTCACTATTTTATTTGCCATCCCTCGAATGGCTGGGTACTTGGCCCATTGGCGAGAGTCCTTGGATGATCCTGATACTAAGATTATGAGACCTCAACAGGTTATTTCCTGTCTTTAAATAATTTCTTTGGTTATATTATATTCTTACACATTGGCATAATCATTTTTTATTAATGCTGATATGCTTGTATGTATGTTTTTTTATGTACCATATGGTATCCTTGAAAATGGTTACCTAGTTGTATCACATTGAGGCTGCAGTATATCTTTCTTTAATAATGGGAAATATTTGCAAATACATCAGACTGATAGAGTAAACCAGTAGTGGATATGCTGATTAACTGTCAGTATTAGGCTTGATGTGGTGGTGGAAATGACTCAAGCAGAGTTACTTTTGGATTAATGGTAGTTAGTTTTCTGCAACAATTTCTCATACCAAGCATCCATTAAGCAGTTAAACAAATATCCAACAGTATTTTGCTGTTGTTTTTGGTAGTGTTGCATATGATACCATTTTACAGGTTTTGGTTTCTTGAACTAGTACTATTATTGAATGATTTTGAACCATGTATGATACGTTCCAGGTTTATGTTGGGGAATGGTTGAGGCATTATACACCAGTCAATCAAAGGACTGAATCAAGTAACAGTGATAAATTTGGTCAATTGGCTGTATCAAATGCCTCAAAGAGGCGACTTGCTGGATCAATGGCATGATCTTCAACAGCACTAACTTGGATTTACTAGTGAAACTGCCAAGTGATCAATAAAGTCCAGACATCAGAGAATTTTTTTTTTTCAAGTAAAAATATAATTGCTTGTTTATGTATAAAATTATGGCACTATAAATAAAATCCTTAAATCATTTAGACAATCATGTCAATATTTTGCTACCTGGAAAAAACTCCTTGTATTTGCCATCTTATTAATAATTTTGAAATCTCAGTCTCTACATATTGAAGTTGGATCAGATGGAGGGAATTTGAATTGTTAGAGATATAGAGGGACTAAGAAAAACTTTAGTTAAGTCATAATGGAAATATTTATTACTTTAATTTTTATTATTATATTACTTTAGTGTGATGAAAAAAGTATCTTAAGTTTATATCAACTATGAATGACAGCTAAAAATTATGCTGGATAATAATTTGTATCAATGATTAAGTGTTATGATATAAAAAATGCAAATAATTTCAATGAACGAGGATATAATCAAACAAACTTTTATTGTGTTTTTTATGACTGATTCTAACTTAAAAATTAAATAAGGTTGGTTGTCTCCAAAAGGTGATTCTTTTCTCCGCACTTAGTACTGTTTGGGTACACATTTACATAGCAGTGTCAAAATTTTTGACACAGAAATAGCACATTTTTCGTACAGGTCAGAATTCGGTTCTGAAGTTAAATTCTAATATTTGATTTTATATTGTTTTTACACAGAAATATATAAAAATATATTTATTAAATATATATATATATATATATATATATATAAATATACATATTTATATATTTAAAATAATTATTTATATTTTTATATCTAATAAATATAAATCTATATTTTTATATATTCTAAAAACATATTTATATAATTAGATTTTAATATATTTTTATAAATATAGTAAATACATATATATAATTATATATTTAATAAATACATATTTATATTTTTTGACATATATATATATATATATATATATGATTATAACTTTATTAAATATATTATATATACATATAATATTTAAATGTTTATTTAATATAAATTAGGGGAAGAAAAAAATTGATAAAAATAATAATTTATAAGAATAATAAATAAAAAATAAAATCATATAAGACACTATAAGAATAATAATTTATTTAATAATAACTTTGGTGTAAAAATTAGAAAATAAAAATAAATAATAAGATTATATAATGAAAATTATTTAAAGTGTTTAATATAAATTTAAAAATGAGAAAAAAATATAATTTTATTGATTAATAAAAATTTATTTTAAAAAAATTTAGTAGTGCAAAATTAGTAAAATAAAAATTAAAAAAATGATGATTTAAGAAAAATTATTTGAATCGAGTTTGTTTAATTTTGAAATTATGGTAGTTTATTGTATTGAATTAATTAATTGAAAATAATAATTTTGTTATATTTTTTGTATTTAATTGTTTATATTTGAATAAAGAATAATTTTTTATTTATTTTGTATTTAATTATAATATATATGTATATATTATTAATGTATTGTATTAATATTTAGAAAGAAATAAAATAGGATAAAAATTTACTAAAATAGTTGTAGACAAAAATACAATTTACATTAATTAAAATGAATATATATATGATTATAAAATTTTAGATCTTTTAAAATTGTTGTGCTCGATATAAATATTGTCTTTGAAGTCATTAACCAATTCCTCAATGGTTGGTAGTCATAGATTTTTTGTTTGGATGAATAATTCAATGGTATCTTGTAAGTATTTACGTTACACGGTTGAATGTAGAAATTGAGTTTTTTTCCAATAATTGATCATTTGTGTAATGTTAATATCAAATTTGATTTGAACTAAATCATGCATAATTTGGTTATAAACCATTGTTATTGGACGACGGTAGTTGATTTCTTTAACTTGTTTGCTGTCTCCACACTAAATAAATTGGGTTATATTTTGTAACAATTGATGAAATGATCAATTGTATTGTATTAACATTGTTTTTGAGTTATCACATCTATAGGTAAGACCTAAATAGTTTGAGTTTTTTTATTATAGTGGCCCTTTGGATAGGTCCTCCGAAGTAAACTATTCTTGTATGGAAGGGATGAGGTTTGTGTTTGTGGAAAATGTTGCATTATGTGGGTTTAGAAGACTCAATATTTGTTTAGTAGGGCTTGTAAACTTAACATACAGTTCAATAATTATATTTATAGGAAATTGAGACTTATAATTTATCATTCAAACACATAAAAAACTGTTACTATTTGAGTTGCATGATAAGTAATCACACAATTCTCGTACATTTTTTGTTGTTAAAAGTACACCTTTTTGAATGATGTATTGTTTGGAAGTTCCTAAGTTGTGTAGACTTTCTCCTTTAGAAGGGTGAAAGTACAATTATATGACAAAGTGTATGTGAAATTGTTGACACATGTGCTGAGCTACCCTTGTATTGTAATGTGTCATTTAATGTCACATTTGTCTATGAGGTAGAGTTCATGTTGGTTATTATTTAATTTGTAGAATTTTGGTGTTGCTTTTTTACTTCTTGTTATTTAATCTAACATCATTTACCCCATCCACACATTCCTCTCAAACATTTTGAAACCTATATCACACTTTCTTATCAACAAAATAATGAGTTTGGTCATGCATTTGATCATGAATTAGTGGAACATCCACCTAGATCATTATTCAAGGGAATGTGTGAAAGTGATATTAGCAAAGATCTCAGTGATTTGATGAAGTCAAAGATAAAGTCAAAGGTCAACTCTGCAACAGTCAAACAAGTCACTCAGAAGAATGGAGCTGAAGACTTAGTGTGTCTTAACAGAAAACTTAGGTAAAACCACTTTACCTTTTTCCACTGCATGAAGCTCCTTCACTCAATTTGCAAAATGCCTCAAAAATAGTTTTAAACAAATCAAACAAAAACATTTTGACAAAGAACTTTCTTAACAATGTTTTTAAGCGATATAGTTTTAAAAGAAACAATTAAAATCACTTAGAATGCGTAAAGAAGTGTTTTTACGGTATTTTAATCGATACAAACTTCTTTTAAATCGATTAAAACCCTTTATGACCGATTAGAATTCGAATATGACGAGTCAGAATGAAATATAATCGATCAGACTTTAAAAATGAGCGATCAAATTTATTTTAATCGATTAAAACACGTTTTAATCGATTAAAACCACTTTGGAAGTCAGGATGATCGATCAGAATGAAATTATGACCGATCAGAGTTGGTTATGATCGATCAAAATTGAATTATGACCGATCAGACTTATTTCAATCGATTAAAAGCGAACTTTCAATCGATTAAAAAGACTTGAAAATTTATGTGCAAATTTTCAATCGATTAAAACGACTTTATATCGGCTAAAATAACTTGGAAAGTTTTATAAGAAGGTTTTTAAGCAAATCAATCGATTAATACGCAAATCAATCGATTGAATTACTCTTTGAAAATGTTTGTAAAATGTTTTAAGCTGATAAAAACGTGGTCGATATCGGCTAAAACAATTTTGTTAAAGAAACAAGAACGCATTAATGGGTTGAAAGGACTTTTAATAGATTATAACGGCTATTTTAACAGATTAAAACAAACTTTCAACAGATTAATTAATGCGACTTTTTCGAAAACTCTTTTAAAAAGCAGATTTGCTTGGAACTTTTCATATATCGGTTTTCATACAAACTAAGCAATAAATTCAAGCAAGCTGTTAAGCATCCTTTTCCAAGAAAGATTCGTAACTTGCTTTATAAACTTCTTTTGAAATCTTTCTTGAGGCACTTTTGCATTCTTTGAAGGAGGAACTTACGGTGGATAAGCGTAATCCGGTTTGAGCTTTCTAAGTCTCTTCTTTTCAATTACTTGTTAATTCTTTTGTATTGTGTTGTACACGGAATTTGGGTACAAGTTTTACTGCAGTTGGTAGGTGGTTGTAGAAGTTTCCAAGAACTGGAATTTGGTTCTTGGTGGAGAGGTTGAGTACGAGAGCTGGAATTTGGTTCTTGTCTTGTGTGGTGCCTGGAATTTGGGTACTTGGGTTCTTTGCGGTTGGAATTTGGTTGCGAGAGGTTTCCAAGAACTGGAATTTGGTTCTTGGTGGAAAGGTTGAGTGCAAGAAGCTGGAAGTTGGTTCTTGTGTTAGAGTAGGTGTAAGATTGTTGAGTCCGTAAAACATCTATTCTAGTGGAACCCAGTGGAATTTGGTGGAGACTGGACGTAGCCCTGGTATTGGGTGAACCGAGTATAAAATTATCGGTGAAATCTTTCCTAACCTTTCTCTCTTTAATTTCGGTTGTTGCGCTTGTATTGTTTAATTGCTTTGTGATTCGTGAATTGATTAGTAAACTTAATTTTCGAATTAGATAATCTGTTTATTGCGAAAAACTTTCAAAAATCAATTCACCCCCTCTTGATTTAAAACTACTTTTCTAACAATTGGCATCGAGCAAGGTGCTTGAAAGTTATTCAAGTCTCTTGATCCATGGTAGAGAACAGATTACTGGTTTTACGAGGGGCATCTATTAACGGACCTCCACTATTCGTGGAGCAGTTATCCTTTACGGAAAATTAGGATGAAAATCTTCATTGAATCCATTGACGAAATGCTTGGGATGTTATTACTAATGGTCCTCTAATTACGAGATAAAGGATGGTCAAGCTTGAATGATGAGGAGAAGAAGAAAGTTCAAAGTGACTGCAATGCAAAAAATATAATTACTTCACTCTTAACATGGATGAATTTTTCGGGGTGTCCCGGTGCAATTCGCCAAAGAGATGTGGGATGTTCTTGAGGTCACTCATGAAGGGACTGCGAGATGTTAAAAGAGCCGAGAAAGCACACATTAAGAAGAGAGTATGAGACTGTTCAAAATGCAGAATGGTGAAAGCATCGCGAGATGTGCGGAAACGCTTCACGCACATCATCAACCATTTAATGGGTCTAGGTAAGACTTTTGATAAGGAGGAATTAAATATTAAAGTATTGAAATGTCTT